AAAATAAGTTGGTTTTTCTGATTTTTTTTTTTCGAGTTCTCTATGACGTCACTTGCACGCCTATAAATTTTCAAGTCATTCTGCTAATCCAAAAAGACATTAAAAATCGTCCAAGATGGGGGTGTCAAAACGTGCTCGCCCACTCACTTTTTTGTTTTTTCTCACTTTTAACTTTTTGTTTTCACTTTACTTCGGGGCCTAAGACATTTTATTATTTTATGAAAACTTTTTAATATGTTATTGATTATGTAAACTACATATCTGTAAATTTTCAGGGCATTTGTTGATGCCAAAAAATAATTAAAAACCGACAAAGATAGCGGTGTCGAAAAGGTGCTGGCACACTCACTCATTTTAATTCTCTTTTTATGTTTTCTTATTTTTATCGTAGTGTTTATTTTCTGTATTTGATTTTTAATTTTAATTTTGTAAAGAATTTGAATGTATTGCCCAGGCAAATATTGTTTAGTTTATTTTTCTCCATAACACAGTTTGTTTTCGGAATTTGTTGAGAACTTCAGTTTTTTTTTTTTTTTTTTTTTTTTGGTCCGCGTTCGGCCCGAATGGTGGAACGCCTTCTGAAGGGGTCCCGTACGTTCGGCCGTTCGGGTTCGGGCGTTCGGCCTGTCCCGAACGTCGGCAACCCTCTATATATACATATATATTTTTTTTTTCCTTAGTCCTCTCTCTCGAAGATGCGGAACGACATCTCTCTCTCTCTCTCTTTATTGTTCAGCAAAATCAATTCGTAAATATATATATATATATATATATATATATATATATATATATATATATATATATATATATATATATATATATATATATATATATATATATATATATATATATATATATATATATATATATATATATATTCCATGGTTATATATATATATATATATGCAAGCTTATTACCTGTCTCTTATACACATCTAGATGTGTATAAGAGACAGGGCAAATATTGTTTAATTTATTTTTCTCCATAACATATAATTTTTTCAGATTTTTTTGATGATTTGTTTTTTTTTTTTTTTTTTTTTTTGCTCCGCGTTCAGCCCGAACGGCCGAACGCATCCACAAGGGGTCCCTTACGTTCGGGCGTTCGGTCCGTCCTGAACGCCGGTTACCCTGTCTATATATATATATATATATATCGTATATATATATATCGTCACAAATAGAACTGCCCGGTAAACCGTAGGCAGCGAGAGAGAAGAGCACAACAAACGAGGAGCTGTGACAATATATATATATCGTCACAAACAGAACTGCCCGGTAAACCGTAGGCAGAGAGAGAGAAGAGGACAACAAACGAGGGGCTGTGACAAGCGGTTTCGTCGGAGTTTCACCGACTCACAAGGAGGCTGAACCCTCAACAGTCTGCAGAATCCCCTATATAGTAACCGGTGTTCGGGTCATCAAATACAAATATGTTTATATGTGACGAATACTAACGGGGTCGCATATACATATATATATAGCCATGAAACCAAGAAGCACTTCGAGGACACGTGTCAGAATCAATGTATTTTGACAGGAGGGTCTCGTTCCATATATAAATTATTTCGTGTTTGACCTATATATATATATATATACAGGGTTACCTGAACGAACGTTCGGGGGCCCCCGAGCTGGCCCCCGAACGTTCGGGCGTTCGGGGTCCTGTTTGGGGGTCGAACACCTCCAGGTTCGGCCCCCGCTAAAACATATTTCGGGGCCTAAAAATAAGTTTTTTTTCCTGAATTGTTTTTTGTGAGTTCTCTATGACGTAAACTACACGCCTGTAAATTTTGAAGCCATTCTGCTGAGCCAAAAAAACATTACAAATCGACAAAGATGGGGGTGTCAAAACGTGCTCGCCAACTCACTATTTTGTTTTTTTTCACTTTTAACTTTTTGTTTTCACTTTATTCTGGGGCCTAAACAATTTTATTATTTTTTGAACATTTTTTAATGAGTTACTGATAATGTAAAGTACATATCTCTAAATTTTCCGGGCATTTGTCAATGTTAAAAAAATAATTAAGAAATCGGCAAAGATGGCGGTGTTGAAAAGGTGCTGGCACACTCACTCATTTTAATTCTCTTTTTATTTTTTCTTATTTTTATCATAGTGTTTATTTTCGGTATTGGATTTTTAATTCAGATTGGTAAAGAATTTGGATGTAGTGCCCAAGCAAATGTTGTTTAGTTTATTTTTCTCCATAACATAGTTGTTTTT